GCCTCGTATGACTCGAACGTAAGCTCCTTAATAATTTAATTCTGTTTGGAATCTGGCATGATTGGAATGGATGGGATTATCACGTTTGGGGACTAATGCTGCAGGTTCACCAGAGGTTAGCCAGAGTAACACGCTCATAACAGCAGCCGCATGTAGGAGGAAAATAATTAAATGTGCCGAGAGACAGACAGACGAGACTTAAAGAGGAAACGTGACTCAGAGTTAATAATTAACAAAGAACAGGAGATTCAGTTTGAGTGTATTCACACTCGAAGCAGCTGTAACAACGGTGGCATTAAAGTCCACAATTAAGTCGTTGTAACTTCTGCTGAAAGTTCCTAGAAGTGACAGTTAGGAGGTCACAGTTCAGATCGGCTTCACGTTAACTATCAGCCACCACTGTCATACAACCAAGTTGAGCTGTAACTACAGATGTGTCATATCATCTCGTTCATGATAACACTGGTATCATCTTTAATATCTTACGAAAAATCCATTGACTTGTTGACATATTGCTGTCATACTGTTACCCACGGCAACAACAAGCATGTCTGAAAAGCGAGATGATGATGGACTCCTTGGTGGTTCCAAAAAGAGGAGGAGCTTCAGTAGTGTGGAATAAAGTGTGGCGTCGGCTCAGAGGGAACTCGTTCAGCGGCTCCTCTGGCAGCAGCACAGTGATTCTGTCTCAGGTTACAGCCTGATGATCAGAGATGATTTATATATTTATAGATCCAGGCTACATTTGTTTAAATGTGATTTAGTTGAAGTATTAATATCGTAACAGAATCTGACTCTGAGTTACTGTTGTTGTTCACAAACTAAAGAAATGAGAGATCATTTTAGTTTTTACTGAGGATTTGAAGCAAACTGTAAAAATACATCACTGATTTTGTTACAGTTCTATCTTCTTATATTAATAATAATTTTCTTTAGTAATTCTTCATATAGTCAAGAATATCATTATCACAAAAATATCCTGATATTATTTTAGGGCCATGACGCCCAGCTCTATCTGTAACAGCAAAGTGTCTGAGTGAATACAGTTGGTCAGGAGTATTCCTTTAGTGTTTATAAATCGACTTTTCATTTGAAAGCAAAAGTTGTTAAATTTTCCTCTTTTAAAAGTGACATAATCTCATTTTTAAATGAATAAAAATAAACAAATATTAGATGCAAACCATCAAAAAAATATTTAAAAAATAGTTATTGTGAAGATTTGATAATCAGAAATACTTCATTGACACTGAGGGGCAAAGTGTCATAGAGTTTGTTCTTTTTAAACTTTCGTTTGAATAAAAAATATCAAATAGTGAAATTATCACAATCCTCAAATACGTAGATAAAACATAAGACTAAAATCTGCCCAGTTTGAATCTGGTATCTGCAGTTTGGTTTGATTTTCATGCCGACAGATTAAATTAAAGGATTACACGCTCGTCCACAGATTAGATCATAATTACAGCTTTTATTGAGCTGAAACTTCGCTGGGATTTTCAGAGTGGAAACATGCGTCATTTTTCTTTTTTTTTCTTTGACAGCAGCCACGAACATTTCAAACTGAACATAATCAGAATCTGCAGTAACTGAAGCTGTCAGGTAAAAACAATAAGGATTACCTGTTTGCCAACTGGGCAATTAAAATCCCACGTTGGGCTCATACATTCAGCAGCTCAGTCACTCGATGGGGCAAAAACAAATCAACAAATGTTTTTTCTTCCTGACGATGGAAGTATCTAAGCAGTGAGCCATCTCACTTCCTTCTCTGTTTAGAGTAACACATTTATTTATTGACTTGTATATTTGACGAGGACAGATGCATAAAACGCTGCTTCATATGTAAAATACAAAGCTGCAGACAGGTTTGTAGTCAAGGCTAACTTGCAGCCTCTGACCCTGGTTAGGCTGTAGAGTCAAAACAGGAAGTGTAAGATTACTGAGCGTGGAGTCATTTCATACAGTAATACAATAATATAATAATATAATAATTCATGCACAGTAGCCATCGACACTCATGAGAAAATGGCGACGGGCTGAGGTAAAGTGTGCGAGCTGACACACAAATGTGTTGGATGTGGGTGAAACTCCAGCTCTGTATCACACACTTTAACACAAGTTTGAGAACAAGGAGGGAGAAACAGGATCAGTTTCCTGACAGTTAACTTTAGTCTTTGTTGTAGTTTGATAACTGTTAACAACTGTTCAGAGGGCGAGAGGATTTCTGACCGAACAAATGAAGAAAGAAGGTAACACTGAATGATGTCATGGCATCAGAAGCATTAAACGTCTGAGTAGCTCAGCAGAAGCACAGAGCCCTCGCTGACTTTATGTTGTGATCAAATGAGGTCTCTTTATGAAATGGAGACTGAAATAAAATCGTAACTGAGATCGCAGCCTCGTTCTGGTTCTGTTGGTGGTCTTGGCCTCTGAGCTGCGACTTCAGCTCGTATTTTACCACCTTTTAGCTTCCCTTCTCATGCGTTGCCACTTCTTTCTTTCTTTTCCCTCCTCCTCCTCCACCTCCTCCTCCTCGGAGCTTGGAGCTCGGCGACCGCAGCAGAAGGCGTCACTCATCTGCTCATGAGAGCAGCCATTGACTTGAGTTTGACTCCCCGGCTCTGAGAGGGGTAGACGGGGTGGAGCCATTTGCCAGCGTAGAGCGGGCTGCTGCTCTATGTTACCACGCAACTGCAGAAAGCACACACAGGCATAATATTTACACTGTTACATTATTTTCCGCATGCGCCTCCAAGACAGAGTCAAGGAGTGTATACTGTGAGACAGAGGGAGGAGGGGAGGAGGAGGAGGAGGAGGAGGAGGAGGGGAGGAGATCCTCGACCTACTAATATATACGTCCTGTGAATGGCTGGCCTCCTACCTGCACGCGTGGGGTTAAACGTTTGTGAAAACACTAAGCCCTCTCCGGGTCGGCACATTTTCCTACGCAGGTGATGTTAAGTGTTCCACCCTGAAAAAGGCTCTTTGTTGACATCACTCACTCCCGTCTTTAGTAATTCTGACCTCTCTCGCAGGAGTTCACTCCACGCTTGTCTCGCAGCAGTGAGCACAGCGTCGGCGTCTGCTCCGCATGTTTCCACTTAAGCTGCGGAGGTCGTCCCTCTTGGCCCGTGGAGACTCTGCCTATCGATGCGTAGCAGGTTCTCTGTTCTCGCCTCGCCGTGCTGCGCTGCTCCGCTCACTCTGCCTCTGAGCGGCTTCTGAATCTGTCAACTTAGTATCTGTCTGCCGCTGCCGTCCACACACACATGCTTTAAATTACTACGCAAAATGTAACCTTGGACTCTGCGGGGACGGATCGCTCCTGACTGGCACCCTGGAGCCAATTTCAGAGGTGCAAAAAAAGAAGCCAGCCTGTGCCGAGTGCAGACGGAGAAGAAAATGATTTCAAGAGTCTTTGCTCAGCTCCCTCTTATGAAAATAATCAATTAGTTGCAATGATTGCTGAAACATCTGGAGCTCTGTGGCACGCTGAGTCAAATCCATCACTGTTGTGCAGCAATCCTGCATCTCAACAAAGTACAGTTCAACATTTGAGCCAGAGTGTGCAGCACACACCTGATCATTCCTTTGATCCCAGCTGGACGTCATGCTGCGGGCAAACACAACTGGTTCCCATCAAGTGTCAGTGATGCTTTCTCTTCATCACGTCTGCTCTTCATCAACCAGCCTGCAATTAATACAAAGAGGTTAAAGTGGTATTAGCAGTTTAAATGTTTGTTCAGAGGGGCTGCACCTCCAGTAAACATACTCTGCACACAGCTCGCTCTGTTTCACCTCGCCGGCCGCTCTGTGATGGTTCAGGCCAGAGACATCAAAGGAAGGAGCGAGGGAAGAGATCTGCTGCTGGAGAGGACGACTGGAGAGGACACAGCGCTCGTTTGTTAGTGAACGAGGCGTCAGTCTCTGTTTGAGCTGTGTCATTTAATGAACAGTGTTTCATCTGCATCTGTTCAGTGAATCTTCAAACATTGTTCTTGTATCGTTCTAAAGGATAAACACACGCTCAGTTATTTTGTACTTGACCGCTCACTGGGAGCGCTGTTGGAGTATAGATACAGTTTGGTTATTCAGAGCACCACAGTCTCAGAGCTCAGAGCGACTCTGTGCACAGACGGAGCGTCAGGAAGTGAAACTGCACCAATTGTTAATTCATATAGGAACACAACAGTCTTTAACTTAGAACAGCAGCGCTCTTATTTTACTGCTGTCCATCAATTTTCCAGCCTGCTGTAGATTAAACTGGCCGTGTTCTCATGGTATCTGTGCATCCTGTGGTTCAGATCTAAAAGTTGACTCACCTCTGCAGCAGCTGCTCCTCTAACCCATCGATCAGCTCTGATCGATCTGACCACACATTGATCAGTTCCACATCTCGCTACTCAAACTCAACAAACTGCTGCTGAGGAAATCAAAAGCAGAGTTCCGCCTACAAACCTACAAAGTCAGAGAGGAGACACAGAACACACAAGTCTGCTCATCAGTGGAGATACACTGACAATATGACGCCTGTTCTCACTGAACGGTTCGTACGGTATCCCAAGAAAAGTGCATGTACAACAGTTTGTATGATATCCTTCATATTTGTGCCTCATCAATGACGTTATGTCTTTAACGTAAAGTCACAGAGGTTGATTTAGGAACAGAAACATGGTGAGGACGAACCTTAACATGACTCAAAGTTCACACAGATCTGAACACATGACTCCCATCCACCACCTCCCCAACCTGCCTCCATACAAACACTTCCTGCCTCCTTGTCACTGCGCATTGGTCACATGATCGCAGCCTCTCAAAATACGTGGGATATGAACGAATATGGGTTTCTTATTGGAAAACATGAAAACAATGTGAGAGGCTGAAATATGATCCTTGAAAATAGGTTCAGTATCCTCACGATCTTGGACAGGTTGAAATAACATATCCTGACTGTTCTCTCCTCCTCTTCCTCCTCCTCCTCCTCCTCTCTGTGCTCCCTCCAGCTGAGACACCAGCAGTGGAGTCTGGTGATGGAGAGCGCCGTGCCATCAGACCGGGGGAACTACACCTGTGTGGTGCAGAACAAGTACGGCGCCATCTCCCACACCTACCAGCTGGATGTTCTGGGTAAACAGGATTCACTCACCTCAGCTTCTGTGTGAACTCTGAACAAGTTAACACACACCTGAGTCGTCCACGTTACAAAGATTGTTCTATGACCCATGCTAACGACTCCACGCTGTCTCTTTCAGAGCGCTCCCCCCACAGGCCCATCCTCCAGGCTGGCCTGCCAGCCAATCAGACGGTGGTGGTGGGCAGCGACGTGGAGTTCCACTGTAAGGTTTACAGCGACGCCCAGCCACACATCCAGTGGCTCAAACACATTGAGGTCAACGGCAGCCGCTACGGCGCCGACGGCGCCCCCTACGTGGACATCCTGAAGGTGGGTTTTGCTGTTTGACGCCTGTGATGTTTCAGCAGCCGGGAGTCGATTTCAGCCTGAGATCATCTCGCTGCGAATGATTCTCTGCGAGGTGTCTGGGTTAATGAGTTTTTACAGTCGGTGGGTCCGAGGGGCCGACGGCTCTTCTCACTGCAGCGGAAAATTGACGTGCTCATTTTATCGGTCACTACACCTTCATTATGAGCAGAGAACAGAGTCACCTGCTCCCCCCCCCCCCCCAAACAATGACTGGCAGCTCCTGAGGGAGGATTACATGACATTAAATTATTATTAAAGAAGTATTTCACTCACATTAATCACCATTTGTATAGAAGTGACTCCCTGTGTGTGAGGTGCCTTGGATTTGTAAAGAAACTGTGTTTTTCTTGCACCGTTAACAGAGAATCTAGAACAATATCTTATATTCTTCATCAGCTGAAGTTACACAGAACTCCTGCTGCATCATCAAAGTCTCATTTATCCTGTCGTACATTCAGCACTTCACACACACGCATTCACTCTTAACACAATGCACATATTCACGCTGTGTCACTCCCACGAGTTTGAATGCTAGAATATTTTGTGTGACTCGCGTCATACGTGTTAAATCACTTAATCGATGAATGAACTTCTGCTGCTGTGTCCTCTGCGTCATACGTAAGATAAGACAGATCTTGTTTTGTTCTGTCTTGCTGTGAAAGCTTCACAGAGACTGATTTATTATTAATTCAGGATTTTACCCACAGACGACCACAGCAGCAGACGGACCTGTCATCAGTTTGAGTTCAACTCTTTCACTTTGTGATAACGACGTGAAGGTTTATATTGAGGATTGTTTGTGTGGCTTGACTGCAGATTATTTTAATGATTACCTCCAACAGCTGATGCGATCAGCGTGCACAGCCCCGAGGTGTCTGTATCTGCTCCTGAACTTTACTTATTGAATTTCAAACATGCTGGACTTCGTTCTGACTTTGTGTCAGATTAGAAAAAGGGCAGAGAGAGGAAAGAAAATGCCAGCAGATAAAACAAACACAACTATATGAGACAGTAGCGCCCTGATAAAAGCATAAATCCACCTTAAAGGTCACAGTTTGGACATTTGGAGTTCGTATGTGCTGCAGCAGCGGCGGCGGCCGCCGTCCAACTTTGATTGGCTGATGATCCGTCTTGTTGCTGAGTGGCCCTGTTCACTTGTTCTGGAATGAACTCTTCAATTATACATCAGGTAACATGCAAGACTGTGAAAGAATGAGTGTACCTGAGCTGCATTTCCATCTGCAGGTGCTCCGTGTGTGTGTGTGTGTGTGTGTGTGTGTGTGTGTGTGTGTTAGATAAACAGCGTGGTGAAGGCGTCAGATGGTCTCAGGAAGGTTATAGAATAACTGGTGGAGGTCTCATCACCTCTCCAGGCAGCGATGGAGTTCAGGAATAGAGTCGACAGCATTCCTCAGCGAGGAGGACAACACCCTAACCCACTGAGAGGCCTGTTTTCTTTTTTTATATATAAATTTGGGGTGAAGAGAGGAAGACTCCCATCGAAAAAAGCCAAGAAGGCCTTTTGCTTTCTTATTTGGCCTCTCCCTTTTCTTTTTTCTGCCTCTCTCTCGAGAGCGAGGGAATAAAACAAACATCTGGTTTGGACTAAGTTAACTGCCGTGGTGGCGGCAACGCAGGCAGAGAGACGGGGCTCTGTTAACCGCCGCTGCCGTCAGATGTGCTGCGTCGCGTGGTTTGAGGAGGAGGAGGAGAGAGGAAAGAGGGAAGAGGCACCCAAAAAAGCCATGGAAAAAATGAGTGGAGGAACACAAGGAAGGGCAAAGTCAGCAGGGAGGGAGAGAGTGTGTGACGGAGCGGTGGGTAAAGATGGAGGGAGGGAGAGAGCGAGGGGGCGGGGTGGGGGGGTGGGTGAAATTAAAACGACAGAAGAGACAGAAAGTGAGTGAACAAAAGAAGAAAAAGAAGAAGAAGAGTGACACATGGAGCGCTGCAGCTCTGTGTGTGTGTGTGTGTGTGTGTGTGTGTGTGTGTGTGTGTGTGTGTGGGTGGGAGTGATGGATTTCAGACTGAGGTCGACTTCAGCAGTCAGTTGTAATATAATGATGATGCAGAGGAAGAGGAGGGTCTCAGCTCTTCCTCTGCATCAGTGATATGATGGATTATTTTACACTTAAAGATTTAATTAATAACCTTTGTGAACACTCAGCACCTCACTGATGGATCCTCTTACCAGCCTGATAATCTCTTCTTTTCATCATGTGTTGGACAGAAAATAGAATTTATTTTTAACCATGATCAGTTGGCATCAAAGTAAGAATCTGGGAAACTGAAGGTCTGATGATTAGAGTGGATTTATTAGGATTTTGCTGAACAGTGCAAATGTCTTTCTTTTTAGTCCCGAGCGAGATAAGAAGATTGTTACCTCATTAATACACTTCAAAACACTAGTTGGCGTCAGAGTTACTGTGCCTATGTGTTGAGCAGGGCTGCAGCAGTATGAAATTCTTTACAATTTGATAACCACCTCAGAAAATATTGTGGTTTCACAGTTTGACAGAATTTATATCATCACCAGTGAGAATGATCCTCACAGGAGAGACAACAGAGTACTGTTGATGAACAAACCTTTTATTACTGAAACATTTTGTTAATGAAGTTTGTGTAAAAAGTCTCCCAAAATAATATCATAGATAATCAAATGTGCATCAGCTTTGTGACGGAGGGTGTTCATGCTCATCATGCAGTCACCTGACATGTGAGGGTCGTTACCTTGATGAATCTCACCTGGGCCTCCAGCCTGTAAGAGCTGCCTCATGTTTTCACTCTCCGTCCGTACGGCAGACGTCCACCCTGCATCAGCACCTCTGCAGCACACCTGACACACGTCCCTGCATGGCTTTCATAACTGACTCACACACTGAGTCAATCTTAGTTTAATAAATTCTGGTTCTTTTAACTAAATGTTTTTGGGGTTTTTTGTGGACTCCGTACCTTGTGACACAGTAAACCTTAACGCCAGTGTATCACTGCAACCTTCCTGTTGTGTTTCTGTGCAGTGATTCAACAAACACGTAAAACAGGTTTAAAATAAAGGACACAATTCAGCTCAGTTAACTCACAAGCTTCACAGACACAAACACTTGTCTTTATCTGGACACAGTTTCCCCACAAATACAACATGCTAACATTATTAGCACAAGCCTATGGCATTTTACATTGTATAAATTAGCCTAGCAGCTAGCAGAGTTTTCCTCTGCTCATATGAAGCCAGGGACAACAGCAACATTTAACAAAGGTAACTTCAGCTCCATTACAGCTCACTGACAAAACAACTGTCTTATACAAACCTAATTATCGCGACAGATCAAGTTGTATGAATTAGCCTGGCAGCTAGTGGACTTTACTTTACAGGATAAATCACACACAGGACTTTAACTTATTGTTTCTTAGCCGTGAAATAAAGTAAATAAAATCTTTGTCTCCACTGAGGGAAACAGTTTGCAGGTCTGCATCGCTGCAGCATGTCGTCACATATGTGAGGAGGTGCTCGTCAGGTTACAGCGCAGGGTAAGCGTCCACACATAGTGTTGGTACAGCATCAGTACTGGACATGAAGGTGAAATAAAAGCCTCCCTGCAGCTGTGGGTTCACTGATTAAATGTTGAACTAACTTTAAAAGTGGCTCATTCACAGCATCTGATGATTCATCACACTGCCTGAAACAATGTTTTTTTCTTTGTGCGTAACGAGTGATAATTAAATAATTTATTACAAGAAGAGAGAATGAGACGCCCCTTTAATGTCTCCCACTGATTATTTAACCCTTTGCATGCTGTAGCTCTCACATTAATGTAACTGCACTGGGGGGCTGCAGAGATAAGCAGGTGACAAGGTGATATAAAGATTATCATACAGCGTACATTTGTTTATCTACGATACTGAAAATAGCTCAGCTTTATTTTGAGATTTTTACACAGACTTCCAGCAACACAGGTTTCAGGTTTCAGTCATAGTAATAAAACATTTGTTCAAATAAGACTGTGATACCGTGAGATGTTTCTCATCACACCGTGAGAATCTCATACTGTTGTTGGAGGTGTCACAGAAATGTTTCTCGATCTGTTGGACTGAAGAGTGAAACACGAGGCCGATCTGTGAACGTTCCAGCAGATTTCAGTAAGGAGGAGGAGGAGGTGACAGTCAGAGAGAAAAAGGAGTAAGATGGAGAGATTAAGGAGGGAGGGAGAGGAGGAGAGAGACGGGCCAACAGAAAGAGAAGAGGGGGGAGAAGAAAGCCTGTCAGCCCAGACCGCGGCTCCACGCTCTATTTTCGACTACCACATAATTGAAACAGTATTTACAGAGACGTGTGTGTGTGTGTGTATGTGTGTGTGTGTGTGTGTGTGTGTGTGTGTGTTTGTGGCCCTACCACAGTTTCTTCAGCCTCTGCGACATCTCATGTGTGGTATATAAACTGTAGGAGTTAAACACAGCTGGGGGGGGGGGGGGGGGGGGGGGGGGGGGGGGGGGGGGGGGGGGGCATGCAAGATTTCTTTTTTTAAGAAATGCCTGAATCGCTCTTTTGATGCCTGGAAAAAAAAAAGTTAACGATGAGCGAGTCGCTGTGGCGTGGGGGGGGGGGCGTCTGGAGCCGAGCCCTGGATGTTCATTAAGCGCCATAAAACATGATATGTTTTCTCCTTTATGTGCTTTGCCCGTTTAATTATTCATCCGCAGTTTCTCTGCTGGAGAGCCGTCACAGCCAGTGTGTGTGTGTGTGTGTGTGTGTGTGTGTGTGTGTGTGTGTATGCACGCAGCACACACACACTTTAGGATGATTGACGTACTGTAATGCCTTTAATCTACAGATAGACAGTTTGTGTTACTGTGTGTATGAAACGTACGTGTGTGTGTGTGTGTGTGTGTGTGTGTGTGTGTGTGTGTGTGTTTATGATCCTACAGGTTTAATCTCACAGACAGCCTGCTTCACTGCATGTGTGTGTGTGTGTGTGTTTCCATTTAAATTACCAACACTTGTCGGCCTGTGTCAAAGTAATCAGTTACAAGTATAAGTTCTGCATTTATATATTGGGTTTGTACGAGGTATTTGAGGTTTCTAGGGTCCAGACCTTTGACTCCGCCCACTCCACTGAGTTTAACTTGACTTATTCATCTACACCGTCAGCATTACCATGTTGAAGACCGGAGCATTGTAAGTAGTTTCTACTCGTCTCGTTGTGAATCTTTGGTCTGAACTGGACTTTAGAAGCTACTAACTACTACTACTACCAATCACAGTGCACGACAAAATACGGCGACGTCTGCAGCACAAGAAAATTCTCCAGGTGCGTGACATGAAAGAAAGCTGTCGAGATCTCTTATAAATGCAGTTTATTTGAAATATAGTAAATGTGACGCTTCACTTCCTGCGACTGACAGTTATTATAGCTGGAGCTATCGTTAGCTTAGCTTAGCATGAAAACCTGGAAACAGCTAGCTGAGTTGAGAAATAATCTGCTCCTTTAAAGGGTTAGGGTTAGGGGTTAAAGGTCACTGTTTAACAAGTTGCGTCTCATTTGTTGACTCAAACACAAATGTAAAATGTTTGCAGTGTATTTGTGTGTGTTTGCATGTATGTTGTGAACATGTGTTGTAACAGGAAGTGGCTGTAACGGCCTCACTGTGCGTCTCACTGTTCCCTCCACAGAGTGTTGTCAGTAAACACACTGAGGCCCACAGTAAGTTGAAACTGTACAACGTGACAGAGAAGCATGCTGGGAAGTACTGGTGTCGTGCCACAAACTTTGTAGGCAAGTCGGAAAACGCTTTCTGGTTAAAGGTACACAAAGCAGGTAAATCCTGAGCTCCAGGTCACAGCCACCTTCATCTGATCCTCTGCTGTGTCTCCTCTTCCTCATCCTCTCTGCGGGGCTCCTCCTGGTTGTGGGTTTGATCAGCTCACTGGCTTTCTAATAGGACCACACACACACACAAACACACACACACACACACACACACACACACACACACACACACACACACACAAAGATATTCCTCTGCTGAGTTTAAATGCTCACACTCTGTTAGCTCGTAGCTATCATCCATTTTAATGCCCAGTGCCACTTTGTCTTCCTCCCCGATCAATAACAAACACAATATCACACCTTTAATTACTGCGACAACTTCAAAAGCCTCACCCTCCCACAATCCACCATCTCACACACACACACACACACACACACACACACACACACACACACAGCAGTATTGATTTGCCTGGGAGTGCATTCTCCAGCTGTATTAATGTGCTTTTATATGAAAGCATGCAGCAGAACTCTGATTCATGACTCGGTCTGGATGTCACTGTGCATTACTGAGGCCCCGGGAATGAGAGTCACCCACCCCCCCACCAAGCCACATCAGACACTGGGTTTGAAACTCCCCCACTGGTCATCACATCAGCCATTAGTCAAAGAGGAAAAGCCTCAACTTCACTGATGCTCTTTTTTGAGCAATTTCAAGGTTATTTAGAAGCAATCATGCTGAATCTGTGGGGTTTTATAAAGTCTGTGTCTTTGACTGACTGACACTGAATAAAAGTTTGTTCGGCTCAAACAACTGAAAAATGTGGATCATTGTTTAAATAAAACTTGTATTAGTGAACTAAACTCTTCATGTGAAAAGGTAGAAGATCTTTAAGAACCATTAACATGTCCATTAGAATTTACTTTTCTTAAAAACAATGGGCCCAGAATAGATCCTTGAGGCACCCCAGTTATTTTTAAAAAAAGGCAGTGGACCCAGGACAGATCCTTGAGGTACCCCAGTTATTTAAAAAAAGGCAGCAGACCCAGGATAGATCCTTGAGGTACTCCCAGAAAAAAATACTTCTACTTCTACTACTACTATACTACAGCCAAGAAACATTTTAGAACAACATCCTAAACTCCACGTGTGATGCTCAGATATTATAATTAACAGCATCAAAAGCTTTTGAAATGTCCAAAACAGTATGAAAGTTTCCCGTTGTCCACATTTGATGTTGTCGGCACACCAGCAAGATGCCATCATTTCTGGTGAAGGGATCTGCTTTGCTTTGGTGTCAGGTAAATTTCACACTGGTTTAATTCAAACTCACATGTTGTGCTGCAAAAACGTGCGTCTTATCAAGTTTTATCTTGAACTGAGTACCAGAGTCCTGGTCTTTCAAAACAAGTGATAAAATCTGACTTTGCAGTGAGAATATTTTTAGTTTAATTCTACATAAATGCAGTATCTTCAAGACAAAATAAACCAGACTGCCGTACTTGAATCAAGCAAATTCTTGAAACAGGCTGATTTGAAACTGATTACTGGGGACCTACTGTGCTAATTTTCTGTCATATATACGTCGTGATAATGATAGACGTTGATAGTAAACGAGGCCAAAGTTTCAAATAATGAAATAAACTCATGTAAAATTAAAAGTCAGCTTGTGAATGATGTCTTTATACTGTCATCTGCTCCAGGCTCATTACATCACACTGCAAGTGAACATACACTGCTACATGTAGCCACATGCTAACGTCAGGGAAACATGTCATCTTGGTTGCCGATGTTAATTTCTCCCAGATTTTGGATCACATTCCTGCTGGAACATGACCGGTTGTAAAGATTTTGGTTTAGAAACTTTGATTGATGATTTTGCTAGCCTCTGTTACAGTTGCTCCCACGGCTGCAATGACGTGGGTTTTTTTTTTTTTTTTCAAAGCTTGTTATTAGCTAGCCTAGTCCCACACTGCTGTGCTGTGATTGGCAAGTACTAACCATTGATGCACTAGCCAATCAGAGTGAGTAGTAATAGCCAATCACAGCACAGTAGGGTAGGAGTAGGCAAAAAAAGGAGGAGTTTTAAAGAGACGGGTACTAAAACAGAGTGCCTTGTGAAAACAGGTGGTCCGACAGTAATTTGTTTTCTGAACATTAAATCATGAAAACATGTTCAGGTAGAAACCAAAAGTACAACCTGAGAATGAGCAGAATCTGTGCCCCTTAAATTAATCTCACTGTCATGTCAGAGTTTTTCACTTTCAGGACGTAATAGGTTTGAAAGACTTGATAAGACGAAGGTGTGTTGCAGTGTGACGACTTGTGGTTTGAGCTTGAACCAGCAGGCTTCTGTCGCAGTGTGGTGACGGTGCTGCTTGGGTGTTTTCAGGTGGTGGTGGTGGAGCTGCTGTCAGCAGAAGAAAACAATACCGCTGACTCCTTCAGATCCTCACTCCTGTCCTTTCCTCAAGGGTGTATTTGGTGTTTCCTCTAAGAAGCTTTGGGCTCATGATATCTCTCCTCTTTCTGTCCTCCCTCCTCCTTCTGTTCCCCCTCTCATCCTCCACAGACGGCAGGTATTAACACCACAGATAAGGAGCTAGAGGTGCTCTCCTTGACCAATGTGTCTTTTGAGGATGCGGGCGAGTACACTTGTCTGGCAGGAAACTCTATCGGCTATTCTTATCACTCTGCCTGGCTGACGGTGCTTCCAGGTATATTCCTCTTCTCTCTCTGTCGTCCACGTCCTCCATGACCTCCATCAAACTGTGACTGTTACTGTACTGTGTTTGTTTTGCTGAGTGCCGCGACCTCTGACGCTCATTTTCAAACCTAATTATCGTACATTATCGCAGATTGTCACTTGTTAACACCTTTTAAATGCGCTGCTTCTGTTTAATCGCACGAGCCGAATGTGCACTCCAGCCTCCATTGAAAGAAAGAGGCTTTTTAATCAGAGCAGATCGTCTGTTTAAATGTCTCAAGGCTACGAGGCAATTTGAAAACTTTTTTGTGTTGGGTGTTCAACACAATAATTACCTCCCTGGGGAGCAGCATATCACAGGTGCAATTACCTGCTGCAGGATAAAACTACAAGCTGATTACTTCCTGATCTGTTTCTGATTTATAGACGTTCTTCCAAAGAAAAGAATCTGCTGGGGTGAAATGTGGCGCTGAGCAAAGCAACATTTGTGTTTAATTATTCAGAAGAAATATTTCTGCTGAGATCTGATGTGAAAATAAATTATGAATTAATGATATGTTGTATTTTGACTGACGTCCCTCCTCCTCCCAAAGCAGTGAGCCCAGAGAAGGAGGATTACTACGCCGATATCCTCATCTACGTGACGGGCTGCGTGCTCTTCATCCTCGCCGTGGTCATCGTCGTCCTTTGTCGTATGAGGATGACGACGCAGAAGACGCTGCCCACGCCGCCCGTGCAGAAACTGTCAAAGTTCCCCCTCAAGAGACAGGTAACAGAAAGTAGATACAAGATTCGTATCAACACTTTTCCCTCTTTCTCTCTCTCTCTCTGTTGCTGGCCGATGAGCTCTGTTGCTGGCCAGTGAGCTCTGTTGCTGGCCAGTGAGCTCTGTTGCTGGCCAGTGAGCTCTGTTGCTGGCCGATGAGCTCTGTTGCTGGCCAGTGAGCTCTGTTGCTGGCCTTTGAGCTCTGTTGCTGGCCAGTGAGCTCTGTTGCTGGCCGATGAGTTGCTGTCTTCCGGGCTGCAGGGCACTTTGCAGCCCAGATGTGCTTTCATGTACCGACAGTTGGCACTGATAGATTTAGCGTAAATCGGCACTCTGTACTCCTATAATGACATAATTTGATCATCACTGTGGTTGCAGCAGTATAAAATTGACAGTTATAATACTGTGTACATTTGCTCATCTATAGTGTTGACAAAAACTGCAACTTGACGAAAAATCTTGCCTTTATTTTATTTATTTTTTCCAAAACAATCTGTTGTCATTTCTTTAAGGATCATTGTAACTGATAATAATAATTGTGTAATACCATTTACTGCAGTATTTTCTGAGACGGTAATGTAGTGTGAAAATCTCATACAGTTGCAACCCTAATTGAAGTTCTTTTCTCAACCCTGGAAATCTGTGAGCTACTGTTGCCACAATTGTTCAGCACTTAGTTGGCTTCAGAGATGTCGCTGAGTTTCCTGGGAAAACACTGAATTTCCAGGGTGAATTCCAGACACAGTGAGTTTGGGAGAAAAATCCCACATTGTCTTAATAAAAACACGACATATCAGAAACTTTTTTTCTCCAAACTAAACTGCAGCAGAATAATTTTGAAAAACAGCCTCAACAGTGTAGAAAGCAGTAAGGATGTTAAGAGAGGGAAGCTCCCTGAGTGTCAGAGTGTCGTGGAAAAACAGAGTCATTTATCTGCATCAGAGCCACAGAGACAGGAACCTGCAGAGGAGTTTTTATTTACGATATCTGTCTGTAACGTTCAGAGATGAGCTGCTCGCAGGACGAGACTCACACAGTGTGAATCAGTAGCCAAGGTTATTGTGCGTCTGTGTGTCCTGCTGTTTTGATGACGTCGCTTGGACGCTGGAAGGCATCACACTGCTGACATGTGTTCACATTTATCTTGGAGCAGGTTCAGCTCAGGGATATTTATGCTCTCCTGTGACTGTCAGTGTGAGTTTTAGATTTCACTCTGTGTAACGCACACTCGCCCCTCAACTGTTGGGAGAGAAACATAAAGTGGAGCAGCTGCGTCGTTGCTGCTGCAGCCTGCAGCCTGCAGCTTGCAGCCCGCACAGCTCTACACCTCATCATCTCTCAGCCACCACGTTCAAGACGCACCTCCGTCGAGTCCGAGTCAGATCCAAGACAGAGTTCAAACAGAAAACAGAGCAGGACGAGATGAATCAAATGTGCTCCGAACCAAAACAGGAAATAAACTGAATCTCAAGGATGAAAAGAAAAGTTCTACACTTTGGGAAATTTGTGTATTTGCTTTCTTGCAGAGTTTAAGATGAGGAGATTGATAACGTTCTCACATGTGTCGGCTGAGTATTAAGATATGGAAACAAACACTTCTTGATTAGGTTGGGGTTGGTTATAATTTGAGCTCAGGACTCTGCTGTATTATCATGAATAGACTTGATACCGGCTCAGTGAGCTCAGTGCTATAGAAGTACTGGTTGCACTATTCTGGAGAGAAGGCAGACATCTGTACGGCCGATATCTCCAACACCACAACTATCCAGGCTGACATGTAGCACTACAAATAAGAGGAGAAATGTGTTTCTCTTTGATTCTGGGGTGAACTGTCCCTTTACATGTGTGTTTGCCAGATAAAGAAATCAATTTCACTCATAGTGTGAGTTCTGGTTTGAGTGGTAGAAAAGATGTTTTTCAGTGAGACTGTTCAGCAGGGTTGTGCTCTGCTGACAGTCAGGAGAGAAGAGTTGAGTCAACATCCATCAGCGGTTCGATGAGGACGAGTCGGAGTCAAAACAGAAATGAGAATCAGATGCGTCCAAGTCAGGAGAAAAGCTCAGAGCAGGTCAGGCCAGAGATCTGTCTGCAGGCTCTCCGTCTGCTCACTAATTGAAATCCTCGTCTGTTCAGTGAAAAGACTTCGATCGCAGCTCCTGAGCTCTGCTTCTGTTCTTGTTACCCCTCTGTCTCAAAACGTCTCTGAGCAGAGCAGAGCAGAGCAGTGTCACTCTGTTCATCCTGTGACGGCTCTGTGGATGTAAAGATGATGTGTAAAATGCAGATGAGTGTGTGCGTCCTGCCCCGCCCTGCTGGACTCCTGCAGCCGCCCTGCTGGACTCCTGCAGCCGCCCTGCTGGACTCCTGCAGCCACCGTGTGGTCGCTCTGAGCCAGCTCCAGATTCCCAGCTCCATAATTGAAGGGTTGTGCTGCTCAAAATACAGAAAGATGCGCTTTTAGAAAGGAAAACTCTTCCTGACGACGGTCATAATTCAGTTCCTGGAGAACAAACTCATGACTCTGGAAACCAAAGGCAGGATTTAGCCTGAATGATTGTACAATGATGTATTTTCATAATTAGTCCTGGTTACATAAAAGCAGCCTTGTTGGGTTAAATCAGAAGGAACGCTGCTCGTCTGAACGATGCTCTAATTGTGGCGCCTAAATCTTTTACCTTCATGCTCTTATAAGGTCGTGCAGGGAGAGGTCTTATTGCATTTTTCTGTAATCTTTGCTTGGTTTTTATAAAGCTAATCTCCAGGTTCTCTCCTTTCTTTTTCATAACTCTGAGTAAATCTCCCATAAAGCCCCTGGCATGTTCTATCAGATATTACTTTTCATGCCTCTGAAATTGTGGTCGAGGCCGTTTCTGTTTTTTTTTTTAAGCTTCTCAGCATTTTTCTCATTTTGCTCCAGAGGAGGTGTTCAGGAGAGAAGTCTGTTAAGTGGCCATTTTTGTTTGAGGACCCCACCTGAAGGGGCCGAGCCGGCGACTCTGACACAAACAGATTCATCAGAGGCCGGGTCGGAGCCGTCAGCTCCTCTGGCACTCAGATAAATGGTGGGTGGGAGGATGTCGAGCCTGCGGGCTCAGCGGCACGACCGCCAGTCTGGAAATGGAGCCCGCTGATGGATAGAGACGTCCGTCCCACCTCGCCACGCGAGCGCCCACCTCTGCTCCCTCCTTCATTCGTCTTTGTTAGCGCCCGCTTCCTCCTGCGCACAGCCACAAGCCGGCTGTTTGTTAAAGTCACTGCTGGTGTCACCGGCCCGCCTGTTTCTCAGAGAGCGCTGACATCACTCCTGAGATGTGTGATGCTGCAGTGTGTCGTATCATGAGGTCGTTCAATCACTGACACCGTCCTTAAACCTTGTTTTTACATCAACAAGTCCAAAAATCCCAGAAATGGATTATTTGTGTTCATGTGTGAATTGTTCAGCTCGTTGTACAAACCAGAGCTTCAACATTCAGTCACAGATGATTCATTATATTTACAGTTTTACAGTTTTACAGTCGTCAGCCTCGTCTGTAACATGTCTAATCAGACTAACACGTGAAAAATGTTTCTGCCAGTGATGTGAGGTGAGTTTAGTTTCTCTGAGACTCTTCAATACTTGTGACTGAAAGAAGAGAATTACAAAATATATTTTAATATAAAGTGAGAATTGTGTGAATGATGATGATTTAAGCAAGTTAAACATCACTCACTGATGAAGCTTTTAGTTTTCTTCTCTCTGAGTCGAAGATTAAATTCTAACTTCACGATCAAGGTAAGAACTCAGAGTAAAGTCGGTAGTTAAATTTCCAGTGTTGCAATAAAATCCTGAGAGTCTGGCCTCAGTCGGTCGTTGGCTCTCGTGATCTCGACCTCTTGATGTAACATGGTGGTAAAACTCAGTCTGAGCTGCCTGAAGTCTTTTTCTCATCGCGACTTCACGACAAAATTAAACATTTTTAATATGACCCAGCTGACACACGACCGACCTCCAACTTTGAAATGTGGTTGAAATAATGTCAGCTGTTGTTCTAACGTTTAATTCTGATGGTTGTGAAAAGGTTAACAAAATTCTTATAACTGAACATTGAAATTTCAGAAAGATCTGTTTCAACATCGAAACAATTTTTTAAACAACATTTAAAGTTTATGGAACAACATTGAGAAATCATTGTTGATTCAACAGTGAATAAGTCTTGGCTCTTGGCAATACTGAAGATCAGTGACGTGATCATTGTGAAACAGCCAATAGCAGCGCTCTCTGCAGCACCAACCAGGAAGCAGCAAACCAGGTCGACAGTAAAGATGGAGGGGACACCCGGGAAAAGCCAGAACAAGTCTCAGTTCTCTGAAGTGAACAAGAGTCTGTGTCTGATCCTCCAATCAGCTCTGATTAATATGAATGTTTAAAACAGTTCTTCTCTCCAACGGAGGCTCAAAGAGTCGAGGCGACAAAATCCAAAATGTAAAGTTTGTATTAAACATAGTTTATCTTTATGGATTATATTGATGCCAAATTAACAAGAACACTGTTGAAACATGACGCCTTTTATCTGGTGTTTCTACAGTTATGTGTTTTTGTAAGGAATTGTTAATGTTGTATTTCTTAAAGGGAGTTTGGTGCCATATTTTCCACCAGGAGCAGGAAATGGAATCTCACTGTCGCATCGTCTCACACTGTCTCTAAATGTGAGACGATGCGACATTTGAATCCTTAAGTTTTTTTCAAAGTCTTGTAGTTTCTGGTAGGTGTGTGACGCTGTGTTAAAACCTTCAGTGTTGGGTCAAAGGTCACGTTAGACGTCCTCCCTCTGTCTCCTTCTTTGGACACTCATCACTCCGTCCTTTTCAGAGTCTATAACAGTTTGTTTTTGCACCCAAGCAGGTGTCCTTGGATTCCAACTCCTCCATGAACTCCAACACTCCGCTGGTCCGGATCGCCCGCCTGTCATCCAGCGACGGCCCGATGCTCGCCAACGTCTCGGAGCTGGAGCTGCCCTCCGACCCCAAATGGGAGTTCCCTCGCACACGGTAAGAGAAGCAACTCCACACGTCTCCAGTCAGACGTCTGTCAGACAGGAAACATGGTGCGCTGAGGCTTCTTTCACGCTGTCAGGAAACATATCTGAGAGTCGACAGATCGGGCGCCGCTGTCCTTGTAGCGCTCTGTGTGTGAAAACATGCGAGCCGTTGATACATCAAGGTCACAGTGACGCCTTCCTCCTCGCTACAAATCAGCCTCGTTCAGAACTGTAGAGATGAATTTAAAAACCCTCCCTCAGCCCTGCCTGCAGCTAAACTGTGAGCTGTGTGTGTGTTTCAGGCTGACTCTGGGTAAACCTCTGGGCGAGGGCTGTTTCGGTCAGGTGGTGATGGCCGAGGCCATCGGCATCGACAAGGAGAAGCCCAACAAGCCGCTGACTGTTGCTGTGAAAATGCTGAAAGGTTAGTGATTGTTGTTCTCCACCTTGAGCTGTGCTCTGACATGTCCTGAAGGACATCAGCTGAACTGTGTCTGTGTTTGACTCCCGCACACAGAGTCACTTTGTCTGTCTCCGTCCTCTATGTCCTCTCCATCCTCTCCGTCCTCTATGTCCTCTCCATCCTCTCCGTCCTCTCCGTCCTCTCCGTCCTTTATGTCCTCTGCGTTCTCTGCGTTCTCTCTGCCTCAGACTCAGCTCTCTGTGTATCTGTTTCTGTCTCTGGATGTTTACTACGGTTTGTTCTTGCTTCTCTTTTGTTGTCTCAGATGACGCCACCGATAAAGATCTGTCAGACCTGGTGTCAGAGATGGAGATGATGAAGATGATTGGGAAACACAAAAACATCATCAACCTGCTGGGAGCGTGCACGCAGGACGGTGAGGCGGCGCTGCATCACAGCAGAGATGATCGACACGGTAACTAACTGTGTCCTGAGAGTGACCGTGTGCTCTGCTGCTCGCAGGTCCTCTGTACGTCCTGGTGGAATACGCCTCCAAAGGTAACCTGAGGGAGTACCTGCGGGCGCGGCGGCCACCAGGCATGGACTACTCCTTCGACACCTGCAAAATCCCCGACGAGCAGCTCACCTTCAAAGACCTGGTGTCATGTGCCTACCAGGTGGCCCGAGGCATGGAGTACCTCGCCTCGCAGAAGGTCAGCCGCCATGACACTGTCGCTAACGCTGATATGCTAATGTTTCACTGAGCTGAGCCTGTGCCTGTGTGTGTGTGTGTGTGTGTGTGTGTGGAGGAAAAGTCCTCACAGCTTCAACTAATTATTATTATTATCATTATTATTAACCCACCTCGACAATCCTGAAATCAGGCAGTATGTTTTGACACGTCAGACAGTTAAATATCATTTAAGATCATTTCTTTCAGCCTCAGTTTGAACAGAAATCAAATCATATTTTGACCTTTTCAGTTATTTCAAGGTTTATTTTTCAGGTTTATGGACAGAATTAGAATGAGGACTGAGCGCTGTCCTCCGCTCACCTCACAAGTCAGAAGTCTGAGCTGATGTCTGAGTGATGTCACACCTGAGTGATGTCACACCTGAGTCGACCAAGATGTTGTTAGTAAACCAGTTGTAGCCAAGTTAGTTATTGTCAGCAGCACCAGCTGATATCGGGTCCACAGCGCAGACTGTAAATAATATTCTGGATGTGCTGGTGACGTCATTTGAAGCCTTTTGGATTCTGCGTTGCCAAGGCTCATTGAACGCACCATAGGTTCAACATATTCTCACAGAACAGATCGTATGATATCCTACGAATTTTTGCCCTGTGAATGACGTTAGGTCCTTAACATACAGCTACGTAATTAACGTTAAATTATGAAGGTCAGGTTCAGGAACAGAAACATTGCGAGCCTTAAAATGGCTCAGAGTTCACACAGATCTGAACACATGACTCCAGGGGAAAGTCCCATCCAAGCACTCACGACTGTTTCCTTGTTTACTGCCGTCAGCTCATTGGTCACATGATCGCAGCCTTTCACAATATGTGTGATATGTATGAATTTGGGTGCGTTACTTTTTATTGTAAAACATAAAACATTAGTGAGTGCAGCCTGATAGGTTAGCTAACACATAGGATCAGTGTTGTAACTACAGTTAATCAGGTTTTAAATCTTCACCGTGGAGAAATGACGTGTCACACAAGATTCAAACGTGGCCCCTCCCCCGACACTACACACAGAGAGCCACCGCACCACTGTGGGAACCTTACATTAGTTTTAATAGAGAAGCTGATGCGTTAGCAAGCTAACAGGAAACAGACTGACTCTGCACTGCTCTTCATCCCCGTCGCTCCTCTCCTGCAGTGCTCGCCAGTGAAGGAGAAAGTAAACGCCAACCACTGATTCACCTTCGATTTGGAATGAGCTTTGTCCACTCGGCATCTCTCCTCACCGTGTTTAGGTTGTTTTGGTGCTGTGTCTGCAATTTTATTAGTTTCCTCTGGGATCGTGCAGCTACTAACTCACCTGTTACTGTCACTGTGCTGGGTCGACAGGCTTTTGTAGATAGGTACACACTGACAGAGAGAGAGACAGAGATTGTTGCTGTATGAGTCCAAATGTGTTGTTTTTGTTTGTTTGTTTGTTTGCTCAGTGAAATCCTGCACAGTACACCTTTAAGGTTAGCTCATATTGTGGAGTAAGTCTGAAGGATGTGCTGGAGGTGATAAAGTCAGACGATGGTAAATGAAAGCTGTCGGCCTGCAGTGCATCAGTGTACGAGTGTGTGTGTGTGTGTGTGCAGTTTGTTGTGTCTGATCCATTGTTCCTGTCCCCTCAGTGTATCCACAGAGACCTGGCAGCCAGAAACGTCCTTGTGACAGAGGACAACGTTATGAAGATCGCCGACTTCGGTCTCGCCAGAGACGTGCACAATATAGACTACTACAAAAAGACCACCAACGTGAGTCTCGCTCTGTGAACACAGTATTGACTCGTTGTGTCAGAGCAGGGACGATATCCTTCACTTGAGACGCTCTGTGAGAGAATAACCTGAACAGATTCCACAGCAGTGTTTAGATGAGTTCGACCTTCCAGGAGATTTTTACACTCCAGAGAAAGAAAAGAAACAAACATGTATTTTCTGTGATCTCTAGAGCACAAACTTCTTGTGTTTATTTGAGTTTCTGAGCAGGTGAAGCTTCAGAGTCAGTTTATTCAGAATCAGTCGTAAACACTTTGCACCTGCTGAACTGAAGTGTCTTATGATGAGACAGGTCAGCTGCAGGTGAAGGACTCGGACAGCGATGGCGAGACGAGGCCGACTGTCTGCTGTGTACAGAGAAGTTCTGCTGACTGAAGCCGTGTGTTGTTCCTGTCTGTTGTTGCAGGGTCGTCTGCCTGTGAAATGGATGGCTCCGGAGGCTCTGTTCGACCGGGTCTACACGCACCAGAGCGATGTGTGAGTTTGCACAAACGCACCGTCGCATGCCAGCTGCCCGCTCATGTGGAGCCGCCGTTCACCGGAGGAATCCGGGTGTTGAAATATCGTGACTGAGCGTGTTAGCATCAAACGCTGAGTTTGTGCGTGTGAATATGGAATGGTAGCGTTCCCTTAGCGCTCGCTGTCATCTGCACTCACTCTGTAATCCTGAGCTTCTTGTGTATCGGCGGCGCCACATTCCTCGCCGCGTTTGTTCTTTAATCTCCCAACGCGACATCACAGAGACAGAAACACAACGAGCCTCCACCACTCACTGCTGTTTTCTGAGCGTAGATCCAAGAACAGACGGAGATAAGAGGGTTTATCAGGTGCTATGAATCCAATCTGCCCCAGAACAGATGGCGATAAAAGGGTCAGTGGATTTAACGCCAGGTGTTCCCTCGGGTGGGGGGGGGGGGGGCATACACAACATGTCCGCCGCAGACACACTCACCTTTAAAGCCTCTGATGGCTCCCATCAGGAGCAGAGAGGGGAGTTGAGGAGAGGAGGTCACAAAGTCAATCTGTGTTTCGGTAGCTGAGCCCCCCCAAACAGCTCCTGGTCCCCCGCCACCCGTCACAGCCAGACGCTGTGTCCCCAGCACAGCCGTCCAAGCCAAACACGGGCCCCTGTCAACACTGGCTCGCCGTGTGATTACACCAGGCTGGGAACAAGCCGAGAGGAGAATCAGCCGGCTCTGTTATTTCAGCAGGTCTGGATTACAGAGCCGATCCTCCCGCCAAACCTCCTCCTCCTCCTCCCTTCATACAGTAGTCGCTCCGCAGCCAGTTTACTCTCACGCGCCCTGGGGGACTGTGACCTCTGACCTGTGATGGTTTTCACTGAAACACATTACGCTGAAACAGACGGGGGACAATTAAAACACTACTCTGTCACACAGTCAAACAAGAAGCAGAGAGCCAGAGCCGGAGAGGACGACGTCACGTCAGGGAAGTTGTGCAGCAACAGCAGCAGCTCACACGGCAAAACTGGCATCACAGCTCCTGCAGCTCTCCAAAGGCAGAGCTGGCTGAGACGACGCGCAGGGAGCCATTTGTGTTGGACTGTTACTGAGCTGCTGCTGCTGCTGCTGCTGCTGCTGCTGCTGCTGCTGCTGCTGCTGCTGCACACGGTGTTCAGGCAGACAAACAATAATCTGCACCATCACGTCCTGACTCCAAGTCTCAACCTGTGAATTCAGACCTGAGGTCAGTAGAGGGCAGATGAATCCTTTAACTCTCCAAAGTGGCATCCAAATATTTTCCCTCTGCACAAATGTTCCACAGCGTCCAGACAAACCCTCTAAATCAGCTCTGTGCAGATTATTAGGATGAAGATCTGTGCTTGGTGTGAGAAGGATTTGGACTGTCAGCTCGTGTTGCTGCAGGAGTCAGTGATAGTGTTTATTAACTGATTTCCTCCTCAGCAGACTGATACAGAAAGTTAAACCTGCTAAAATGGAGACAGACTCCTTTCTCACAGCCAGTAGAGCAGAGCTGTCATGTGTGACGTCATAGACAGGTCGGTGAACAGGTAAACAGCATAGAGGAGCATGGAGGCACAACAACCACAACTTAACTGTGGTTACTTCCTTTAATATCTCTTACTGACTCAGTCTTTCAAACTCGGATCAATGTTTCAGCTGCTGGGCATTGAAGGACGGGTTTTTTCTGGAAACAGCCGACTGAAGGGGCTAAAATTTCGTGTTGACATGGGCGTTGTGTTTTCGTCACTGCCATTAGGAGCCGGAGCGATAAATACTGATAAATACTGCCATAGAGTCTTGTGACCCTGGTGTGAAGGCGGATTAAAGCATTAAAGGTTTATGGGAAATTTTAATGATATGTCAAAAAATAAATTATAAAATAGCTGAAAAAATGGTAATAAAATGTCAAAAAAAGTTCATAAAAATTCCAAAAAATATTACTTGAATGTTGCAAAAAAATTCATTCAATTTCTGCAAAATGTCGATAAAATTAAGGAAAATATTCTAAAATGTCGAAAAGAACATTGATCTAACAGTAAGATACACATACATACAGAACAAACGGCCCCTGACCCTGTCCTGACCCCAGAGACCTGATTAGTTCCCGTCTGTGACACAGCAGTGATGATGAGTTAGTCTGAGTTGTTTCAGTTTTACATCTGAATACTGACGTCTCTCTTTCACCTCAGCCTCCTCTCTTTTCGTCTCTCTGTGTGTGATTGGACGGAGGCTCACTGTGTTTCACCCTCCAGACCGCAGTGTGGATAATTAGATTAAACCCCGCTGAGCACCCGCGGAGGAGGAGGAGTCTGATTCTGATTCACTGGACCAACAATAGTACAGTGGCTTAATAAACGTCATTATCTGATTACCGTCCCTCATTTTTAGCCATTTAGGAATAATGCAGACGCTGAGCTGCAGACGAGAGACAAAGAGAGGACGGCTCGGGTTAGAGGTGCAGCAGAGCCGGCAGCAGCAGCTGGACTCAAACTGCAGATACACTATGATATGTTTTTATATTCAGGTTGTGTTCAGAGCTCGCAGGCCGTTTGGAAACTGTTGGATGTGTCAGAAGAGTTCCCTCTACGCTTAAAACAGTGTAAAGATGAGTCAATGTTTCTGATCAGATCTAAACTTTTTTTTTTTTTTACATCGAAATATAAAAGTGTTGCTTTATGAAAAGTTTCACACCAGAGACATAGTTTCATATTCCTGCAGCTCGTACAGACCTCACAGTTTCAGACAATGATGACAGTGATGATTTTATGAAACTGATGAAACATAAGCAGAAACAAAAGTGTCCATGTGCTGCTGATGTTCTTTGAACTTGTTTCATTTGTCTTCAGTCGGTTTCCTGTTGAAAATGTTTATTATGTATTCAGAGCTGTTTCCTGTCACATCTGTGCGATCGGCCCATAAAGGATGAAGAAGCGTCAGAGCTCCACACACATCAATGAGCCGCTGGGCGACATGTTCCTTTATTCTGGACACACACACACACACACACACACACACACACACACACACCGTCCTGCTGTCAGAAATACTCACTACAGCATCACATGTGTATCAATCCACGGCTGAAAATAGTCCCAACCAATGCACGGTTTATTCTTCATTCAGTAATGTTTGTTATAAACTACAGAGTCCAGCCACACACACACACACACACCGTCCTGCTGTCAGAAATACTCACTACAGCATCACATGTGTATCAATCCACGGCTGAAAATAGTCCCAACCAATGCACGGTTTATTCTTCATTCAGTAATGTTTGTTATAAACTACAGAGTCCAGCTGTTTTAGGAAATCAGTGCTCCATGTTTGAACCTGTATTTGTGACCCATTCTTATGCCAGCGACGCCACGGCCGAATGTCCATCCTTCCATCCCACACTTGTGAACGCGATATCTAAAGAATGCCTCAAGGCCTCTTTAAATTTGGCTCAAATGTTCACTTGGACTCAACAATGAGCTGATTTGCTTTGTGGTGACGTCGTCAGTATGAACCAATGAGAAACAGACCGACAGCACCAGTTAAAGTATCTTGCTTCAGCTCAGCTCTGTATCTGTTAACAAAGAAAAACCCATCCTCCGTTTCTTTCTGATGACTTTGGGTCTCGACTCGTCTCATCTGCGGCTCGAGGCTGCAGCTGTTTATGTTTACAGGTATCGACTGACTGTCCTGAACAATAAGAATGTCAAACTGATTCTTAAATGGAGAGCAGTAGACGTGATTGAAGATCAATATTTGTTCGAGCAGATTCATCAGTTTATCTGAGGAACACAAGCGTCTGTAAACGCTTCAGGCGGTGAGCACCGTGTGACCTCTACTCTGTCCTGTGTGTGTGTTCAGGTGGTCCTACGGCGTGTTGCTGTGGGAGATCTTCACCCTGGGAGGCTCGCCGTACCCGGGGATCCCTGTAGAGGAACTCTTTAAGCTGCTGAAGGAGGGACATCGGATGGACAAACCTGCCAACTGCACCCATGAGCTGTACGTGTCTTTATGGATCAGAGTATCTGGGGCTTTGCTTTTGTCTTTGGATAACTGTCCTTGTGTTTTTACTTTGTCTTTTTAAATAATATTTTCAAATGCACGAACAGACACCCGACACATTTTTGGAGCTGCGCCTGCACTTTAATCTGAGCACCTTTGGATAAAAACAAATCTTTGCAAAAAAAAAGATCAGATAGAAGATTTAAAAGACTCTAGCTGAGCCATACATCATATTTCTTTGATTGCTGTAGATCATCCTGCAGGTTCAGCAGCTCGTTTAGGTTTCTCTCCTCGTCTCAGAGTTCCTCCGTGTGATGAACTGTGTCTTCTTGCAGCTGGAAACACAACAAATGAAAGTAAAAACTGAGAGTGAGGAGCCTTTACTTTGCTTTAGGCTTAATTACAGCGTGTGAGCATCCAGCTGCAGATGAAGCAGAGCAGCAGGGATCAGAGGGAACACTGTGAGATCTGAGGAGAGGACGTGTTGTAGCTTTAGGTTTCACTGTAACAGACAGAAACTGAACTGTAGCTGTGGCTGTTTCAGGTACATGATCATGAGGGAGTGCTGGCACGCCGTGCCGTCACAGAGGCCGACCTTCAGACAGCTGGTAGAAGATCACGACCGGGTTTTATCGATGACCTCCACTGATGTAAGTCTGTCTGCACAGCTGCTGCTCACTCACACTGACAAACACCAGGAAGCTTCACCTTGGACCACTGCTACTCTTCATTTAGTGACTGCCACCCTCCAGCTCACAGTCAGATGTGACGGCTGCAGCTACACACCTTTTGTTTTTTTTTTTACATGTATTCAACACATAAGAAGAGAATAACTGATGCAGGATCAGAGTCTGGAGAATGTATCATTCATCTCACTGTCTTTCTTTGAAATGTTGAGCTGTTTGCATGATTTAAATTTAACAGACAAAATGTTGACATCATGCGTTTCTGCAGACCATGGATACGTTACATTTGTACGTTGTTATGTAGAGATACGTTTAAACTTTATGTTTCAACAACGTTGTTAACGTGCAGTTAAAAACCACTTGCTTTGGTCGGGACAAGATGATGTTTGGGCTACAAGTACCTGCTTCAGGTGGCACAGATAACAGTGATGGGTCCTTACAAACCCACATTTTGAAGCTGAAACAGGACATGCGGCGACAGGTCCCTAAAAAACACTCATGTTTGGAGGCTGAGCAGCAACAGGAAACACAGCGACAATGTCCCGTGAAGCCACACATGTTGTGGGGCTAAAGGTCGAAGGAAACAGTGGCGAGCAGCTAAATAACGACAGATTGAGTTGTGTTTTGGTCTCAAACTGTGTCTGCAGCTCTGCAGCTGTTTCTCCTCGCTGTCACGCCATCCACTGTCCCCTCCGCACGTTCTCACTGAGACTTTGTCACATATCCACTTTTTTTTTTTTTTTTTTTTTTTTCCAAATCCACATATGACGTGCACAACGTTCCCGCCCATACACCCGTGTCCAACTAATCTTGTGGATTGTGAGCCCACTGATTGGCACGCACAGCTGTCAATCAGGACATCAAACCCCCTTTTTATAGCATCAAAGCATCGCTCTGACACCGACGGGTGCTGTTGAACAACAGCTGCAACCGACCGTGCATCAGTCCGTAGTGAAATGACGGCTTTTTTCATCGGTGCCTGATGTTGGAAGTCACTGACCACGTGCCGGTATTCAGCGACTCTTGAGTGAGACCATGTTCCCCCTCCAGCTCCTGATGACAGTCAGCTCAGATACTACCTCACTTTAGAAATGCACATATGACACATGTGAAACATGCAGATGTAACACACTTGTAATTTGCAGGAACATACAATGTCAACATTTATTTTTGGTGACTGTTGTTTTATCACCGTCATGTAAACCACAAAAACAACTCTGACGATGTCAAATAAACTTTGTGAGGAAGAAACATGTAAACAAAAATCATGTTGAACTAAAATATCCGAGTGATAATAAATTATTATTCTTCATGTGAGCACGGAGAGGATTTGACTGTGACACCATGGTGTAACCTTTGACCTCTCCTCTGACAGGAGTACCTGGACCTGGCGGTGCCCTTCGAGCAGTACTCGCCCACCTGTCAGGACTCCAACAGCACCTGCTCGTCAGGAGACGACTCGGTGTTCGCCCACGACCCGCTGCCTGACGAGCCCTGTCTTCCCAAACAGCTCCCCAGTAACGGGGTGATAAGGACATAAAACCTGAGCTGGGGGGGCGGTCGGACTTTCACCTCTCTCACAGTTTGACAAACACCTCTCAGTGACTCCTCAAGATATGGAAATGAAAACTCAGCATGCAATACTTCCACAGTGCTTCAGCGCTTCGATTCGTCTTAAACTCTTTGACTGAGTTTTCCTCCTCTTCCTCCTCCTCCTCCTCCTCCTCCTCCTCCCCAACAGACTCTTGGAACATTGAAGGATTATTTTTTGCCGTTGAACCATGTTTGTGTTCCTCTTTTCAGAAATGAAATTATATTTTTGTACTCGGGCCAGTTTTTGTTACGGACAATCTGTGGGGTGAAACCATTCCGTGCCTACTGGGATGAAAAAAAAAACTCCTGAGACTGAAACACGTGGACAAACAAGAAGTACGAGGAGGGAATGAAGGGCATTGGTCAGTGACTCATTGGCGATCCAGTAGGCGGGGACCTCAGAATTTAACCCTCTCGTCTGCACGGAGCCCCGAGGTCGCCGGAAAGGTTTGCGATCTCAAGGAGAATCCGTCGACAAGAAACCAGCAAAGCCAGAATCAACTCGATGATGGGACTCGTTCTTCCGAAGACACTCGATAACTTTTCCTTGACAGGAGACGACAGAAAGGACGACAGCATTTAATGTTTTCTCATGAAGTTGTACGCCATCGTCCCGTTTTAGCATCCTGAAAAAACACCTTTGTGATAATCATGGAAAAAATTCCTCAGCTGACGTGAGGCGACGTGTCAGGGCCATTCAGTAATTAGTACAATAAGGTTTGTTTTTTTAATGTATCTAGAAAATGATTTATTGTAAATATATAAATGCAAATATGTATGATATCGCTGTCCACAGCCATGTACGTAAAGACAAAACTACATTTTTAAAGTATTGTTTTAGGATGGAAGCATTGCAGTCTAGAAGACACTGTCATGGAAGTGTAAAACATGTAATCATTTAAAGTGAAAAGGTTTATTTGAATAATTAACGTGTATATTTGTAAAGATATTTATAGACTTAACGTGGTTCTTAAGTTGAAAGGTTTAGTTTAGGATTTTAGTACTGTACGCAAAGATTTTTATTTCCTTTTTTTTTGTAACTTATTTTACAACAGAACTGCGGCGTTATTTTTCAGACTCCTCTGGTTTTTGATCCATCTTTTTGTTTTGTTTACAGTTTTTAAAAGAATAAGAATGTATGACAGACGGGAAGATGAATATAAGAGCGAGTGTGATTCGACCTCCAGAGGAGGATTCGGGAACTGAAGGCTCCCGCTGAAGGGACGCTGACGTTTCCGACGAGTTTAAATTCTGGTTTGAAAAGTTGACGTTTGCGATATCGAAGCAACGATTGACTCTTGCTGGGCAAGAAAAAGCAGCGCCTGGAGGTTTGTACGGAGACGCCGGAGAGTACGACTGAAGTACTTTACGACGTTTTCAATATCAACAACAACGAGCTGTGAATCATCAGGAGCCTTCAGAGAAAAATCTTCCTATTGATTCGATCTCACTGTTCAGGGATAAACTACATCTCCCATAATTCTTTCTTTAAATCGTGGCATTCAAAAAAATGTGAAAGCTCGTGAGAGAACAAGTGTCGGCTAAAAAGTCTCAACAGCGAACAAAAAAGAAAAGTCAGTTTTACATTGCTGACCCCAAACTCACCCTGTGTTCAGCTGCACTGCATTCTGGGGCTTTGAGTCCCAGGCTGCTCTCATGCACTGTTTGTGTGTATAGAGTAATGCACCACAATTTATATATAACCCACGTGATCGAAGGCTGTGATCATGTGACCAGCGCGCTGACGGAAGTAAAAAGTGAAGTACTAAAAAGAGCGACAGTCAGGAGGAAGATGGGGTCGTGGACTTTCCCGTAGAAACAGGTGTTTGTGTCGCGACTAGAACCAGGTGAACTTTGAGTTATTTCAGTGAACGTTGTCACCATGTTTGTTTTTCTGAACCTAGCCTACGTAACTTAACGTTAAGTATGTAACACAAAGATTCCAAAACCACGTTTCTGTTCCAAAACTTATCCTACGTGATTTAACGATAAGTACAAAACTACTTTTCCTAAATCTAATTTGCGTAACTTTACAATAGGTACGAAACTTTACGTTACGTAACTTTACGTTAAGTGCATAACATGGCAACACCCAAACATGTTATGTATCTAAAGTGACCACATTTTATTTCCTAAACTTAACCCACTTAACTTAAGGTTAAGTATGTAACTTTACTGCAAGTACGAAATGTAAAGACTCCCAAACTGTGTTTCTTCTCCTAAACCAAACCTGAGTAACTTTATGATAAGTACAAAACTCTACATCAAGTAACTTTACGTTAAGTACATAACGTGACGACACTCAACCACATTTCTTTTCCTAATCTTAACCAACGTAACTTCACGTTAAGTATGTAACATTACGTTAAATAACTTTACGTTAATTACATAACGTGACAACACTCAACCACATTTCTTTTCCTAAACCTAACTGGTAGGCAAATTTGCGAATCCTAGGATAGCGAAAGAATGGCCGACTTTACTCCACCTCTACTCTGTCTTTGATTAGCTCACGCTAACCCTTAACCAATCCAACCAATGAAGGCAATGAGTACTAGCTAATCAGAGGGAGCGTAGGGAGGGTCGGCCTTTAGGATCCTATTCGCAAATTTGCAGCTGGTACGGGCGCTAGTGAAGTTGGTGCTGTTTCATTAGATACAAACCTTTGTATGAGAAAATACTGTGAGTCCGGTAAAGGTGCAGAAACTGTTCTCTGTTCCTGTTTTACAGTCACGTGTGATCGTTGAACGTCAGCGGCTTCGGTCTGAAACAAGGTCTCAGTCCTTGATTCTGAGCCTTGAAACTAAAATGTGACATTTATGGTTCATAAACAGAATAAATCAAACAAAGACAAAAGGAGACTCAGAGGGTTTGTTTGAAGAGTGTTAGAATATTTAGGAGGATTTATTTCTGAAGGTCGCTCTGAAGGCTTCACACTCTTGTAACAGAAAGGTCACAGGGTCGATGCTAACAAGCTGCGTGCGGATGTCAAAGTGCCCTTGAGCAAGACACTCAGCATCTGTGTGCACACTCACACAGAGAGACATCAGCTTGAAGGCAGAAATGTAAAGCTGTTAATAAGAAAAAGAAAAAGCTGCCCAGACTTTTGAGACTTTATCGCTGCTCTATAGTATTAATACTGAAATGAAGGCGTGCTGTGCGACTCACAGGTCTCACGGCCAAACAGAAATATAAACCGTATTTGTGTCGGCCTGTTAAAGGAGACTCTGACGACTGTGCAGGATCCTTCGCTCCGTCTGTGGGAGCAAATAAAAAGTGCCAAATTAGTCTTAAAGTCGATTTCAGCGAGTTCTGTGAACCAAATGCTGCACTGTGGAATGTAGGCGGGCGGAGGTCACGTGTGCAGCGAAGGATCATGGGATTGCCAAATGGATATTTCCCCTGTTTTTTATGCAGTCGTCTCCAGCTGACCCCAAGAAGCGAGCGGGTTGAAAATGTTTACAGAGTCTGTTTTTAGCAAAGTCACAAAGGGAAAGGGACGTTCAAGAGAACTGAAGGTTCAGACACAACATTCACTCGCTGCTAAATGTTAACAGTGGGAACACTTTGCTACGGAGTTTACTGTCAGTACTTAAACACATCGCCCCCAAATATTTAAAGTACTTAAAGGAGTGAGAACCTGTATTTAACTGTTTTGCTACACTGGGAGATTTTGATGTAAATGATGTTTAGTGGTTGGTTTGTGCACAGACACGAGGCCTCTGTGAAGTGAACGCTTTCACCCAGTCGATGTTTAAAGTTTGGGCCCAGATCTATGAAGTGCCTGAAAACATTCAGCCAACAAACAGCAGATTGATTCATTCTTATCACGTTTGAATGTATAATTGCAAAAATAATAACTGAATAAAGAAGCAGTTCTCACAGAAGCAGGCGATGGAAGTATTAGCCTTTTGTTTTTAATCTGGAGCGAACGCCATGAGAAGGCACTTGTGTGTAAAGGTCGGACGGATCTGATGAAACGCTGTTTGTTTTATTTATTCTTCCATGCTGGGTAAAAGCTTTCCCTATGGCGAGAGTATTTTTATTCAAAGCTATCTGCTTTTCACTGTTGTTTCTCATTAAAGAGCCAGAAGATGATGAAGATGATGATGATGTAGAGTAGTCATTTTACTGACGCCCCCCATCAGGCTTTGCTCCTGGCTTCGTTTATCCTGTATTTTATTTTTATCACACGCCCCCGGCCTTTTCTCTCTGCGTCCCTGTCGAGCTCCGTCTCTCTGTTTAAAGACCATGTGTTGTTTTGAACATGTGTGATGTCGATGGCGTTCCTGCGTCTGTCACGTGAAGCAGGAGATCCATCACAGGAGGAAAAATGGCAGCCAGTAACTGAACCTATCGACTTCCCTTCAGGCCTTTTGTTCCATTTTGGAGCTAATGAAGCTTCACATTAAGTATTCGACCGATCTGTCACTTCGCTGATACGTTTCGTTGCTGTTGCATGAAAAACATGTTTCTCCAAAATGTCCATTTTTCACCAGCTCAGAAAAAACAGCCCTGTTTCAGCTCTCTGACCTGCAGCGTTAGAAAACCCACATTCTCCAAAGTGTTTCATTTAAAGTAGTCTGCATTTCCTCACACAGAGATTTTCAGCTCAGGAGACCTATAAACATACATTAAATACACTTAAATACACTTAAATACACTCAGCAATCACGGCAACAGGCGTCCATAGGGACTATTCTTAATTCATCAGAGGCTTTTTTTATTTTGACCCTCCCTGAGTGACTGGAGGTAAATCCATGACCATAAGTGAGTTATTAGATTTTTGACGTTTGAAAGTTAAAAGTTGAAAAAGTCTCAGTTTTTCACTCTCGTCGTACAAACGGTTTATTTTTGGCCAAATTTTAAATGAGATGTAAAATAAAGTGATTTTGATGAAATATTTAAGCTCAGATGTGATTTTTTTTTCTGGTGTCACAAGTTCAAGGCCGTCAGAAATTTAAAAATCCAAAGATAAGTCCTGTTTGGTTCTTCTGAAGTCATTTTGGCCATTTTTACAGAAAATGTATTTTCTTTAAAAATAGCTTTTTTTTGTTAAATGGAAAAAAATCTTTTTAGAATAATTGCTCTTTAAAAATCACTTTTGAAGTTTTTTTAAAATTGAAAAAAAAAATTAATTGCTGTTAAGAAATCGCTTTTTAAAAATCAGAAAAAAAGTTATCTGACATGCCTTTATATATTGATTATATATTATCTGTCCCTATAAGAAATTAAACTGAAGTTTGTTTTCCCAAAGGAGGCTAAAAACAACCCAAAGAGCACCTGAGCAGACGCCATCTCTTTATTCATTAACGCCATGTGCTCACAGTTTCAGGTGCACTGAGCATGTGTCTCACCCTCATAGCTCCCATCAGGTCGGTCTGGAGTTTCATTAAAACAGTCTAAATTCAGCTCCAGGTTTTTTCATCATGACAGGAAATCAATCAGCTTTGAACACAGCGTCGGCCCTCAGATGTCACATGTTTAAAACAACACATGGTTTTCAGAGTTTTCTTTGGTATTGACTGAGAGACGAGGTCGCTGTCAGCAGGGAGGGACTCTTACTGTATGTACAGCCACACGTGGGCCTTTAACTTCCTGTCGTCTCCGCTCTGACGGACTTATTTATTCTCTCAAATAAAAGAGGATCAGATTGAAGGTGAAGCTGGGAGGAGACGCACACACTCGTCCCTCCACTCAGATCCAAACTACACAATTTATTTCCACACAGCGCTCGTCTGGTTTCTTTAGCCCTGCAGCTCTAACCCGACATGTTAGTCCACATTAATTTATAGTTTGAGATCTGCTTTGTGTTGCTGATGTACATGAGTAGAGTTTATGTAGCTGTGTGAGCTGTTTTATAAGAATCTTAGAGAGGAAATGATTTTCATATTCACTTCATTTCATTTTGCATTCCACGTCAGGTTTTCTTTCTTTTTAAACCGTATGTAGACAAAATCATGTTTGTCCTCTGATTTATTTTCCCAGTCCCATAATTTATTTTCCTCCCTCTGTATTCATGTCTCTAACATAGACAGGTGGAACTAACATTTGGCATTATGTGATTGTTTTTATTTGTAATTCAATGCTTGTTTGTTGCGCTGATGTTCCTGTTCTGATCACGATGAATCGTCTGTAACATTCCACCACATCGTCCCCTCGGGGCCAACAGCTCCCAGCGGGGGAAAGAACTAGATCACAACTCTCTCTGTGCCTGACTAACTATGCTGTCAAAAAGGTTTTCAATAAACATGTTATAATGGCGTGTGCTGTGTCGGCTGTCTGTCACTGAGAGAAACAAACACACTTTATGATTCACCACCAACAAATCACAAGTTTGAAAGTTTATGTGAATGAAATGGACCCAAAATACACACGACGGAGAGTTTGTTTTGTCTGAAGTCTTTGTGTCGACACAGTCGAGGATATCGAGGCCTGTTTTCCTTCCACACAAACTGACTGTGGGTGAAACTGAGAACAAACAAGCTCTGGACACAAAGAAACACTGCGGTTGACGTGGTGACAGGACCCAGAGTACAGCACAGATACTCAGCTGGCTTTGTCTGCACAGGTCAGGTGTGAGCAGGAGACTATATATCCTCTGAGATTTTGGTTTTATCCTGATGATGCAGAAATTGTGTTTCTTCCCAGGTATTAACCCACTCAGTCATTTTATCCACATTAGTAATGATTATTGATCTGAATCTGCGCGCTCAGTGTCTCTGCACCATCACTGCAGCTGAGCATGACTGTGATGGAGTATAGTGGCATCTCCTGCCATTCTTAATATGAGAGACATTAAAAACATCTGCAACCAAGATTACTGAATTCCCTAATGTTAGCATGTTGCTATATGTAGCAGTGTTATTGTTGCTGGGGAATGACTGTAACAAAGTTAATGACACTTTCTACTGTTAGAAATGAACAATAAAAGTTTATAGACCAAAACCTTCACGACCAAACATGTTCCAGCAGGAATATGATCTGAAATCTGGGAGCAATTAACAACATCTGCAACCAAGATATCTGAATTCCCTGATGTTAACATGTTGCTACATGTAGCAGTGTACTTTCAGCTGGAGAATGACTGTAACGAAGTATGGCTGCACTCTCTAATATTAAAAATCACCAGTAAAAGCTTCTAAGCACAACTGGACACGTTCCAACAGGAATATGATCCAAAATCAAGGAAAAACGACATCTGCAACTAAGATGACGTGTTTTCCTCATGTTAGCATGTGGCTACATGTAGCAGTGTACTTTCAGCTGGAGAATGACTGTAAGGAAGTACAGCAGCATTTTGTACTGTAATAAAATGACCAGTAAAAGCTTCCAAACCAAAAGCTGAAATGAGGTAGAACCAAGATCATGTTTCCCCGACGTTAGCATGTAGCTACATGTACTTTGACAAAGTGAATTTATATTCACAACATAAAAGCTGTGATCACATAAAGGACGCAGTCAGTGAACAAACTCTAACTCAAAGCAGTGTTCTCCTTTAAACTGCAGCAGGAAGTGCAGGCGGCCCCCACTTCCTGTTGATTCTGTCACACAGTGAACAAATTAGCCTCTCATAGCATCTTAACTGCTCTTTAATCACACAAAGTCTTTGCCCCTCTGTCTTTGTCTGCTGAGTACAGTTCCACGCCCTCCCTCGCCGCCTCGCTGGCTGCAGCTCAGTAAACGGCTGGTGGGAGGGGGGGCGATGATGAGGGGTATTTGGGGGGCTGCTGAAGCTGCTGGGCCTGGGTGGGAGGGCAGAGCTGGACAGTGACAGAGGGAGAGAAGGGGTCTATGTATTGAGGCTTTTGGCCCGGGGCCCGTCTCAAGTGCGTCCTGAGGGGAACATCCTGCCCCTCGTTGGAACTTCCTCGGCCGGCTGAAGTGGCCCATTCACGGAGGTCTTGTGAGGGGGGCTTGTTTTCACTGCTAAATGGATGTTTCTGTTTCAGAGGTGTTTGCGCTGGTGGACGCTTTCCATTCCTCCCTCCTCCTCCTCCTCCTCCTCTCCCACCACTCTTCCTCCTCTCTGCTAACCATTGGCTGTCGGTCATCAGGCCCGCTCTCCCTCTTTAGACCGCTGTGCGACCTTTAAACCGCCTCTCACCCGGCCCAGCAGAGGAAGAGGAGGAGAAGCAGGAGGAGGAAGAGGAGGTGTGGCTCTACAGCTGCTGCAAGGTGATGGGTTACTGATACATTAGTTTGAGGATATTTTCCTGTTGGTGTGTTTACAACAAGTGAAGATGACAAACAGAGAATTCACTCTGTAAAGATTTATTGGTTAAAACTCTTCACAGCAGAGGAAACGTGCTGAAGCTAATTAATCTCTTCATCTGCTCACTGATGGCAGCAGCTCAAGATTTTTACAATCACTGAAAACAAATTAAATTTAGACTTAAAGCAAACTGAGCGTTCTCCTGAATCTGACTTTGTGCCCTTAAACACAACTCCAGTTAGACTGTGTTTGGTTCGGTCAGAGGGTCGTCACTCTATAACACGACTCTACGACTGTCAGTGGACTTTATGTTTCTCTCCTTCACAGAGACCAGCACAGGTTCTCCTGGAACTGATCCAGCTGCTCAGGTCAGTTTCAGCAGTGACGGGTGGATCAAGTCTTTTCACATAATCTGTTCCTTTAAGTTGAAATAAACAGAAACTGTTACAAGGCATCTTTTGGTTGCTAGACTACGCCATCGTTGTTCCACTCCAACCTCTGATGGAGCCACCAGACTGCAGGAGAACAAGATATGAACCTCAACTTAAGTTTTCCTGAACTGAAATACACTTCGTGGCAAATGACAAAATTAGTTTTCAGACTTTGTTGCTCAGTGGGAAGTTGTTCCCCTCAACAAGGTTTGGACTTGATGTCAGAACAAACAACCTGGTCTCACTCCGAAGTCGTCAAATACCGACACTTGGTCAATGAAGTTTGGCGTCAGACACCGACGAAAGAAGTCGTCTTTTCACGACAGCATGACACACAGCCAGTTGGTGTTTTTGTCTAATTCCGCCTGGTGGCGTCAGGGGGAAACGCAGCGGGACAACAACCTAAGTTAAGGGGGGTGGAAGTCTGAGTGGGGTGGTGGATGGGTCCAACAGGCACCAACTTTTACTGGGGAGGCTGCTGCAAGATTGTAAAGCTTAACCCCCAAATTCCACCAGACGGGTGTGGGTTGCGTCTGCCATCTGGAACGGCAGCGGAGCCGATATGTTTCAATTCTAGTCAATGTGTGTGTTTCCACCGGCTGCGGCTGTGCTGCGTTCTGGCTCCGTCACAGCTGCGGCGCTCTGGAGCCCTCCCCAACAGATACGCAGGACTTCTGTTTTTGCCGGACGCCGGAGCACAACGCAGCAATTCAGCACAGAGCAGATCCAGGTTTCCAGACATCATTTCACCCGTTGACACCATGGACGAGGAGATGTTAATCATGGAGGTGCACCCAGATGTCTTCCTACTACTCCTCTGGTTTTGTGGTTCTGTTTATAGAAACTACATCTTGTTATATCGTGCGATTATGCGTGAATTAGCGAGATCTCGTGGGTCCTCGTGACTTCCGCTGTCCGGCAAACGCAGCTGGTGGGTGTTGATGGACCGCGGCGCACGCAGCAGATAACCAGCAAAGACATGCATCCAGTGGAATTCTGGCGTGACGCTGGTCTTTTTTCCTGTTGATAATATAGTCCAAGAAATGTCTTTAATACTGTGGGTCATTGAAAAGTTTTGAAATTTTCTCCATGAAAATGTGACAGAACCCTGGACATCAAGTCTGTGATGTCACCTTGTCAAAGTGAACAGCAATCCACTGAGCAGCAAAGTCCTAAAACTGATGTCCCACAGTGTGAGTTCATGAGTGTGTGAATTCAGAGGCTGTTTGAAATCAGAGAGAACAACCAAAGACACCTGGAAACAGCCTGTATACATGTCATACTGTGAATGCTTGTGTGAGATTGACCGACTGATGACTGAGTGAGGACACCTGTGTGGAGGTGTGGGCGGGGTCTATATAAGAGGCTCCTCACTCTCTGACTCAACACTCAGCTCGTTGTCTTGTTTGTGACTTCTTTTAAGAAACTGTTTTCTGTTGCATGTATGTCCCAACCTTATGCTGCAGCTTTCAATCCGCTCAACACAATTTAAATGTGTCAAACCTTTTAAACTTTTGGGGTTTTAACTCATATGTAAAATATAATGTCAGTCTTTCTGTGACACTCTGTTATTACTGGTTGAGGCACATTCAACAGCAATATTCATTTTAACACACTGACTGAGTGTCTCACTGGTTTGAAGGTTTGGCAGTGTAAGCTCAATATGATGTTACAGAGATGTCACTGACTGACCGTCTGTTGTTCTTCAAAGAGGAACCAGCAGACGTCCCAGTTACCTCCACAGCCTCGTGCTGTGTTCATGGGCTGTGAGAATTATCTGAAAATATTACTATTTCATGGTTCACCTGATCTGTTTCCTTCTTCGTTATCAACATGTTGAAACGCTCTGAGCAGTAAAATACAACACGTCCTCTCTGTAGTGTCTCTGTTGTTCCATCATCATCATCCTCACTGTGACCTCGTCACATGTCCACGTTTGGTCATGGACTTTCCACGTCCACATATGACGTCCAAGGTACCCTGGGTGTGTTGGTTGTTGACGTTCTGGGACGCCGTGTCAACTTCAGCCTGTTACATGCATTGTCTGTTTTCAAAGTACACTTCTGTTTTCACAGGAAATGTACAGTTTGTATACAGTCTCTTTCAAAATAAAAGCACTACGTCAGTACAACACCACCAACTGATGTTTTTTTCCTTCAAAATGTGGTTGTTGTCCGACCGTTGAGCAATAACAGCGAGCGGCCACACATCATGCCGACATGAAAGGACGGCTTTTTTCGTGGATGTGTGACGCTGGAAGTCACTGACCAAGCGTGATCAGTGGTGATATAGCTTTTAAAGGACACACACCTGGTTACATCTCTGAACTGCTCTGCGCTCATTCCACCTCTCGACCCTCAGGTCTGGTGACCAATCACTGCACCCATGTAAAAACTGAAGGTGACCGAGCCTCAGAGATTAACCACTGGGACCAACCATACACAGTCTATGTTACTGACAACTTCCTGTTACCTCCACCATGTCACGTGAAGCGTCACCCACCATCGTTCCTTCAGTGGCTCCTTCAGGGACAAGGTGGACACTGGCTGACAGACTTCAGAGAATAAACCAGGACAGTGAGCAGGTACTGTGTAACAAGGGTTCATTCCCAGTGATAAA